GTCGGGAGGTGGAAGAAATACTTCTCGGACCTTCTCAATCCCACCAGCACGTCTTCCGTCTTCCGTGGAAGAAGCTGAGATGGGGGACTTTGGGGTTGATCTGTCCATAACAGTGGCTGAGGTCACCGAGGTAGTTAAAAAGCTCCAAGGCAGCAGGGCTCCAGGAGTGGATGAGATTCACCCTGATTTCCTTAAGGCTCTGGATGTTGTGGGGCTGTCTTGGCTGACATGCCATTGCAATGTCTCGTGGACTTCGGGGGCAGTGCCACTGGATTGGCAGACTGGGGTGGTGGTTCCCCTCTTCAAAAACGGGGACCGGAGGGTGTGCTCCAATTATAGGGGCATCAACCTCCTTAGCCTCCTTGGTAAGGTCTATTCAGGGGTACTGGAGAAGCGAGTGCGATCGTTGGTCAAACCTCAGATCCAGGAGGAACAATGTGGGTTCCGTCCTGGCTGTGGAACACTGGATCAGCTCTTTACCCTCACTAGGGTCCTTGAAGGGTCAAAGGAGTTTGCCCATCCAGTCTACATCTGTTCTGTGGACTTTGAGAAGGTATCCGACCATGTTCCTTGGGGTACACTGTGCGGGGGTTCTCCGTGAGTATGGGACTGGGGGCCCATTGTTACGAGCTGTTCAATCCCTATACAAGCGGTGCAAGAGTTTGGTTCTCATTGCTGGCAGTACGTCGGACCCCTTCAGGGTGGGAGTTGGAATCCGCCAGGGCTGCCCATTGTCACCAATTTTCTTCATAATTTTTATGGACAGAATTTCTCGGCGTAGCCAGCTGGCGGAGGGTTTCCGGTAGGGATGGGGCAGATCCGATCCAGTCTGCAGAGCCATAGCGCCACATTAAACCACGTTAAAGTTAGTTTTACGATGGACATTCGAGCTACGTGGCTTCAGAGGGGCAGTACTCTTTGGTCAAACCGAAAGAGGCAACTCGACTTCGGTCAGCCGTGTCCAATCTGCCCCGCTCAGTCTGCCCGTCTCTGAGGAGGGACAGCCTGAGCGTGGCTGCCCCAAATCAGGCTGCTTGCTTCGGATTGAACAAGAAGTAGACGTCGCTGAAACCATGGAGCTCAATTGTTTACCGAGAAGTTGCTAAACTTCATCATAATTAATGACCAACCTCTATCAGTTGTAGAAAACGAAGGATTTCACAGTTTGATACTTGCAGCCAAGATATAGTTTACCCTCCAGGAGATATTTATCAGTACAACAGTAGACAATCATAAAAAACATGATTTGAAAATTATATATATTAAAAACATAAACAGCTACATTATAAAGTAATGTAAAATACTAAAAACAGGAACATGTCTGTTGGTTTATGCCATGAACTTAGCAGGTGTTTGAAGCCATTTAACATTTAATTTAATTCATTTATTCAATCATTTAAATGAAACAAATAAAAAAAAATCATCAAAAAGAAAACATTGGATGAAAATAGTGCAGAAAGAAGAAAAAAATCTTATATCTGCCCCTTATAAAATATAAAACAACTTTAAACAATCACTTAAATTAATCACTTTAATATCCACTTTAAAGCTAGGAATAAAAATAAACATGTTTTGTGTTAGCAGAATTTAATTCTAACTTTAAAACTTATCCAACATTAATAAAACTTACCTCAAGTTGCCTTCTTGGACATGCATGCATATATTTGTACAAATTGTACTTGAGAGGAGATTATTACAGCCTCATATAAAATCAATGATGATCATTATATCGGAAGTGGATCGGTATCGGCCAATACTCAGTTATAGGTATCGGGATCGGATCGGAATTTAAACAAGTGGATCGGTGCATCCCTAGTTTCCGGTTTGGTGGCCTCAGGATTTGATCTCTGATCTTTGCAGTTGATGTGGACCTGTTGGCATCATCGTGCCGTGATCTTCAGCTCTCACTGGAGCATTTTACAGCCGAGTGTGAAGCAGCTGGGATGAGAAACAGCGCCTCCAAATCTGAGACCATTGTCCTCAACCAGAAAAGGGTGGATTGCTATCTTCAGGTCGAGAGTGAGGTTCTGCCTCAAGTGGAGGAGTTCAAGTATCTTGGGGTTTTGATCACGAGTGAGGGAAGAGTGGAGCGTGAGATTTACAGATGGATTGGTTCAGCATCTGCAGTATTGCAGACTCTGTACCGGTACGTTGTGGTGAAGAGAGAGCTGAGCTGTAGGGCAAAGCTCTCTGTTTACCGGTCTGTCTACATTCTTACCCTCACCTCTGGTCATGAGCTCTGGATAGTGACCGAAAGAATGAGATTGCGGATGCAGGCGTTTGAAATGCATTTTCTCCGCAGGGTAGCTGGACTCTCCCTTAGAGATCGGGTGAGAAGTTCAGTTATACCTGGGAGAAACTCAGAGTAGAACCGCTACTCCTCCATGCCTAGAGGAGCCAGTTGAGGTGGTTTGGGCATCTGGTAAGGATATCCCCATGGCGCCTCCCTAGAGAGGTGCTTCGGGCATGTCCGACTGGGATGAGACCCCGGGAAAGACCCAGGACACGCTGGAGAGACTATGTCTCTCGGTTGGCCTGAGAACGCTTTGGAATCCTCCCAGAAGAGCTGGAAGAGGCTGTGGAAAGAGATGTCTGGGCCTCCCTGCTCAAGCTGCTGCCCCCGCAACCCGACTTCGGAATAAGAACAAGATAATGTATGGATGGATCTCTCTCTCTCTCTCTCTCTCTCTCTCTATATATATATATATATATATATATATATATATATATATATATATGATATATATATATGTATATATGCAAACAATCACCCTGACCATTCAACAAAACTAAGCTTTCTAGTTTTTATATTGCTTAAAAGTATGGTTTTCTCTAATGATTGAGGTGGTTCTTGTGGTGGCCGAAGATTAATGGTGGCCAAGGCCACTGTTGTCCACTCATTGCCTCTGCCATTGGGTCTGGTATGGATAAAATGGCTCATTTCCTTTGTCAGAATCCATCACTCTGCTGTGCCTTGGATAAGCAAACAAAGAAACAAACAAAAATGCTATCTGGATTCTTATATACTGTGTAACTCCAACCCACTTGAGCATCTAGCACTAAAAACATTCATGTTTACCGCATTCCCCATTAAATTCTAGTCCAGAAAACTCATCTTAAAAATTACCAATGTTTAATGTTCAAATCCCTCACCAATGCAGGACTTCAGCGTATAATTTGTTTAATCTTTATTTTCAGTGGAAAAGGCTGCAATTTCCAGAAAAGCTGCCCCGATATTTAAATTGGTGCTAGAATTAAATTTCATTTCAGTTTTAAAAGCAAACTATGTCTGTTGTATTGAAGTGTTTGTCTAAGAAGAATCAACCTCCTGATGCTGTCTGTTTTCTGCAGTAGTACAGATGGAAAAGAAGATTCAGGAGAGCTGGACTTCAGTGGTTTGCTGAAAAAGAGGTGAAGAAATAAACCAAATGAAGTCAAAACCTTTTTCTTTCATTTTACATTTTGCAATCTAAATCTCTCTCCCTCTTATTCTTTGTTTTCAGAGAGTAAGTTACTTTTGCATTTGGAAATTAAAAGTTTGAATGACCATTCAACAATAGTTTGTCAGTGAGCTTGAATGTAGACTGGCAATGCACTAGTTGCAAGACAAATTTTCAGAGTCCTGTTCGAGCATGATGTCAGCATGCGTTTCATCTTTGTCTCATGTTGTCCTTCACTCACTTTGTAGGAGTGTCTGCACGGTGCTTCTTATATATACAACAGAAAGCCCTGTATATATAATATAAAGTGCTATGGCTGTGTGTGTGGCTGGTTGGATAAGAAACATTGTAAAGTGTTTTGCAAAATCTGGAGAGGTTAAAAGGCACTAAAAATGTGGACCATTTTCCATTTCTTATTTTGATTCAATGAAGTTTAATTGTATTTTTATTTGTTATCAGAACTTTGTCCTGTTTTGTCCTATTTTTGAAACTCATCAGAGGTCTGGCTTCTGTTACTGCATGAACAGCACTTTCCTAAGATGGAAAATTGTTTTTGTTTTGTCTGTTCACATCACATTTGACCATTCAGATTTCTGTTCACTAAGAAAATAGTAATTTAGTTTAACTTGATATCCACAGTATGATAGTTGATAGCATTATCTTTGATATTAGGCACTTTCTTTGTGATGATGTTAAGGCTTCGTGTTTCATCCTAAAACTGTTTTTTGGGCTGCTCTCTGTCCTTTAGAGCTGTGCACGTGCACGCTGAGCCTGATGTTGATGTTTGGAGCATTCTCTGTCGAGCTCCTCCTACAGAATATGAAAAGATTGCTTTCCAGTATGGCATCACAGACCTGAGAGGGATGCTCAAGAGACTGAAGAAGATGAAGAAGGAGGAGAAGAAAAGTGAAGGTCGGCATGTGGAGCTTGTGACAATCATCGCTTTGTTTAATCCTTTAAAAAAATTCTAACTGAAAGACTGGTTTGTTCTATTCTTTCATGCTCTGAAATTCAGCTTTCCTCAAAAAGCTGGACCCTGCCTACCAGGTGTCAAAAGGACATAAAATAAAGCTTGCAGTTGAGGTTGCAAATGAAAATGTGGATGTGAAATGGCTAAAAAATGGACAAGAAATCCAAAAATCTGGAAGGTTTGGATTGATATGTACATTTTGCAATATATTCAACCAAGAGCAATTTCCAACTTTAATATTTTTCACTGTTTTCTCTCACCTCTTTTTCTTTATTTCTTTACATTTGCAGCAAGTAAGTGTCAAATGCAATGATAAAAGATTTAAAGTTTCTCCAAAGCCAGTTTCATTACCTGAAACCCTTGTTGTGTTTGTCAAGGTATATATTTGAGAGTGTTGGCAACATGCGCTACCTCACCATCACACACTGCTCCTTGGCGGACGATGCAGCGTATGCATGTGTGGTGGGAGACGACAAATGTACCACCGAGCTCTTCGTTAAAGGTGAGGAAAACTGAGAGGAAGAGAAAGATTTACTCTTTAATGTGTAAAACCCTTCCTATTTATTTTCCACAGAGCCTCCTATCACAATTTTAAAAAATCTGGAGGATCAGATGGTTCTGAAGGGTGAGCGGGTCGAGTTAGTGTGTGAAGTCTCAGAAGAAGGAGCCAATGTTAAATGGTGAGATGATTTTCTCTCCACTCACTAAGAAGCTGTCAGTTTAATATTCTCCTAAATATAGTGTTTATTTTTAGGGTGTTGACTGCACCAGCTATAAAACAACTGGTGTAAATCGGCCAATAATCTGATGAGATTACAGTTCTTTGCTCAGAGAAACTAAAGTAGTGTTTCTTGAAGGATTACATATCACCTGCCAACTCATATGCCAAATATATAAAATATATTGCTCGATCCTTTGCATATGGAGCATGTGAAAGGGACTACTCTCATCTACCACCACATCAATATCTGGAAAATTCACTGTTTTTGACAATTTTCTATTTGCTAAGGTCGATTAGCTGTGACGGCAGCACGGTGGCACAACTGGTAGAGCTGCTGCCTCTCAGCGAGCAGGTCCTTGGTTCAAACCTCGGTCCAGGGGCCTTTCTGGGTGGAGTTTGCATGTTCTCTCCGTGCATGCGTGGGTTTTCTCCGGGTACTCCAGTTTCCTCCCACAGACCAAAAACATGCATGTTAGGCTGATTGGTAACTCTAAATTGTCCCTAGGTGTGAGTGAGAGTGAATGGTTGTTTGTCTCTATGTGTCCCTGTGATGGACTTGCGACCCGTCCAGGGTGTCCCCCGCCCCTCGCACAGTGATTGCTGGACATGGGCACCAGTGACCACCGTGACCCAAAATGGAATAAGCGGGTAAAGATAATGGATGGATGGATGGATGGATGGATGGATGGATTAGCTGTGACAACCATTTTCAATCAAGTTGATTCCAAAAGTTATGTGCATCCAGTTAGGGAAGTGGTGGTGTAGAGGTTAGAGAAGGTGGGCCTGTGATCGGAAGTTCACCGGTTCAACTCCCCAAACCGACAACATCAAAATGTGGGTGGAAAAGGTGAAGCACCCACACCTGTCTCCATCCTCATTTGATCCACTCTGGGCCCTTGAGCAAGGCCCTTAACCCCCACCATCTGCTCCCCCAGGTGCTATATGGCAGCTCTCTGCTCCACAAAGAGGGCTGTGGTAGCTCGGTGCTTTGTGGTTGGTCAGGAAGGGAATCCAACCCAAAAATTATTGCCAAGTCTTTGTGCGACTTAGTTCGATGTGAAGACCCCTGAAGAAAGGAGCAGCAGAAAGAGGAAGAAGAAGATGTGCATCCAGTGACTACTTTTAACAAATTTGGTTAAAAAGTGTCAAGTGGTGAGCAAAAAAAAAAAAAGAAGAGAGACACAAAAATGGCTTTAACTCAGTGAATTTAACATATACTGAGCTAAACTTTGGTGTGGTAATAGCTGAGAGTAATGTCCAACACACACTCGCACTAACAGATCACTCAGGATATTTGTTTACCTGGTGGAGATAGCAGTCTTTCAAGGAATTATATTTTCATTCATATCAAGTTGCTTTATTATGTGGTCAACATAAATGTTCATAAATAAAATAGAAAGTCGTTAGAGAAGCTAAACGTAAAGTAGTCCAACTGAGCTTTTACACACTAGCTGTGTGTTTGTGATACAAAATAAATGCATTGCCACAAGTTATACTGATAGTTAAAATGTTTAGACAACTTTTGGTCACAGACATGATTACAAATTTGTTTTCTGTGAAGGGAAAAAGATGGCATTGAACTGACCAGAGATGAATCTTTAAAATATCGATTCAAGAAGGACGGCTGCAAACATTATCTGATCATTAACGAAGCTACCAAGGAGGACTGCGGCCACTACAAGGTCAAAACAAACGGGGGGGAGTCGATGGCTGAACTCCTGGTGCAGGGTGAGTGTCGTCACATGGTCGCTACCTTCTTATCTCAGTGATAAACACTCCAAGTACACATTCTCATAGCAAGCAGACAGGTCGCTGTGTGGCCTGTCCATTCTTGATGAGGAGTCTATCTTTGTATCTCTCCCATAACGTTGCCAAAGTCGCAGCAGCAAGAACACGCCGGCTAAACTTAGAAGTATGTGAATTTCACCTGAAGGGCATAGGTCTGCACAAATGGTCTCACTTATCACCCTTGACTTTGTTTTCTGGGCTGTATGATCAGAGGAGGGGAACCAGAGTGATGCTGCTTGTTTACTGCCCAGTAAATCAGGGAGACGGAGAACAAAATCATGCTGCTAAACAAAAACACACACACGTAGTAGAAAGCATAATTTGATGATTAATAAGAAGCATTTTCCAGAACCTAAGGTAAGTTTCATGTGTATGAGCCCTAAACTTGAACAGAATAATGAAAGACTGCTATTTGTGTTGGTGTTGGTTATTGTATAACTAACATTTTGTTCCCGTCTAAAAAACTATTCTTATGTGTAATTGTGAGAAAATGCACTGAAGGTATTACCATACCATACCATTTAATTTATAGATCACTTAAAACAGCTACAAGACCAACCAAAGTGCTGTACAAACAGAACAACAGGTAACACACAAAGCAACATACAAAATGAAGTAAATCAGAATATAGACATAAAAATGTTGCAGATAATAAATATGATGACTAACCTGTGTGAAGCATACGGGTTCAAAACACAGATCATCTGGTGTTGAAAGCTACGGAATAGTAGTGGGTTTTTAAACGGGATTTGAAAACTGAGAGGGAGGGGGCCTGTCTGACAAGCAGCAGTATTGGCCATGTCCAAACTGCTAAAATAAATCCCACACCTTTACTAAACAATTAATACAGAACATGTATGTTAAATTTCTTCTACAAGGGCGTGAATATTTCAGAGGTAGATTTTACATGATGGAAAAACACAGCCTGCTTTTATAAAATGTTTTATTTTTCTTCGCATTGTAGAGTTTTGACATTGCTTTCTTAGATATTAGTCAAAGTTTTAAATGTTGTTGGTCAATTGCTATGTTTGGATCAATAACAGGTAATAGAGAAACTCCATCTACTTTAACCCTAAATTTAAAAAAAAAAATTATTTAAAGCAAAATTACATTTCTATGTTGATGACACAGTTGTTTATTGTTGTTTTGGGATATTTATTTAAATAACACCAGGATTCTGAAGAGTAATCAGCACAATGGACAAAAAAGAAAATACTCAGATACTGTTCTGCTAAAATAATAGTGTCTTTATTATTTTGCCACAGATTACAGAATAACAAGCAAAGCAAGGTACAATCACAAATGTACTATCTCACAAGTATTGATGTAGGAAAAAAACTCTCACCGTGACACATAGAGAGCCAGACAGCCTAGGCAGAGCATACACCAATACAGCTGGACGTCCCAATCGGAAGACTCACAGCAGACTCTGCCCTAGCAAATGTGCTTCTTCTACTTATATCCTTTCATTCTCTCTCTCTAACAAAACATGTTTACTTGAAACTCGGAGTTGAAAACGGTAACTCCTTTCCATCTATGTGGGGGGAGTAAAGGCTTCTCTCATCTTGAGGAGAAACATGCAAAGTAAATTGTGAGAAGAATGCTCTCTTATCAAGGAAGCAATCACCCATCCCATTCATGTGTGGAGGGGTGATGGCTCACCTCTTATTAAAGCAAAAACACGTTTACTAAAACTGTCAGGATAGCGTGAGAGTCCGATGGTGAAACATGTTTATCAGGAACCTGGGGCGCTGTGACCTAAGGGCGGGCCAAGCCCCTCTGCCAAAACACTCCCCAAGAGTTTAATTAAACATTCCTTTAATACAACATCTCGCTCTCACAGTAACCCGACCTTAGATGTCCACATGAAATGTTTTATTTTCAAGCTATAATATGAAAACATTCAAAAGAATATGGCATAAAAGCATTAAAAACATATTATTATATCAACTGTCAATCTAAAACAGTTGCTAAGGTTTTCCACCTTCTACAGTCTGCATTCGACATCACCCAGCCAAATTCGTTCCATCTCAAACTGGTGCTAAATGTTGATAAAACCAAAGAGATGGTATTTTCAAACAGGAAGTTGGTCCCAGCAGTTCTTCTTTCTATTTTATCTTCAAATGGTGTCCATATTGAGTTTTTTTTAGATTCATACAAATATTTGGGTATCTTGGTAGATTCACATCTCTCTTTTAAGCCCCATGTTGAAAACTTGTTAAGGAAACTGAAAGTTAAACTGGGATTGTTTTTCAGAAACAGATCCTGTCCAACTCTGATGTTAGGAAACACCTTGTATCTGTGACTTTCCTTCCCTCCATTGATTACGGTGACATTATTTACATGAACACTCCTACAAGAACCCTGCATATGTTGGATGCTGCAGATGTTGGATGCTGCAGATGTTGGTTGCTGCAGATGTTGGATGCTGCAGATGTTGGATGCTGTCTATCATGGTGCACTAAGATTCATAACTGGCTGTAACTACCGTACCCACCACTGCACCCAGTATCCACTGGTTAACTGGTCACCAGTAACTTCACACAGACTCTCCCACTGGTACATTTTCATCTTTAAATCACTTCCTGGTCTGCTGCCTTCATACATCTCCTCCTACATGTCTCTGTGTGAGTGCAGCTACAGCGTGCGCTCTCAGGACATTATTACCTGCAGTGTTCCCTCAGTGAGGACTGAACTAGACAAAAGGACCTTCTCCTACTCCGCTCCCGTTTCCTGGAATATCTTGTAAAAACATCTGAAGCTCTCGACCTTGACCTCTCTAAGTGGCTGCAAACATCTGGTAAGCTCCTGGGAAAACACAACAGAGACACATTCCTGTTTTTAGTTTTCTACATCTCTTTATAATGTAACTGTTTTTTGTTGGTTTTTATTTCATTTCTTCCATTAACCTTTTGTTGTATATGCTGTATATGTACCGTTGTATATGCTTTTACATGATTGTCTATTGTTGTATGTACCTCATTTGTGTTCTTTGTTAAAATCAGGTCTCTCTTTAAATGAGTCCTCGATGCTCAATGAGACTAACCTGTAGAAATAAAGGTTGAATTGAAAAATTTCAAATAAAACCAAAACTTTTAAAAACTACTGTATTTGACATCTCTAAACGCTTGGTTATAATAATGCAAAAAAAAAATAATAAAATCAACATGGGTAGCAAATACATATTACAGTGTACATCTCAGGTAATTATCAGATCTATACCCAGTATGTATCAGGTACATATTTACAATACATAATAAGATAAGATAATGAATAAGTACTGAGTATGTACCTGATGTGTACTGTTTTCTGTATCGCTACCAAGTTGTTTTCCTGTAAAAGCTAAAATCTAGTTTAGCCTTTTTAGTAAATACATAAAATGTATAAAAATAAACACGATAAATATAACAATATGGATAGACATGAATATTTACTTATATTATTTGGTTGCTTTTATACATTTTGAAATGCTCAATGTGTCCCAGACGTTGTGGTGAGTAGACTCAAAGCTGGTGTATGTTCTAGCTCTTTGTCCAGTCAAGCTTCTCTGGCTTGTTAATTGAACATGTCTCCTGCCTGCCAAGAATGACCAGCTGCCATCATGCAGCAGCACAAATCAACACCCCAGTCTTCAGCAGAGCTCACATTATAATGCCATTCTCACCATGTTTGCCTCTCCTGTCCTGGCAGAGAGCTGAGCAGTAGCTCCTACAACCTTTACAAGGAGCAAGTTATCTCACCCAGATCGCACTTCAGTAACTCTGCGTGTATCATTATTTCTAGTAATGCCCTGAAGCCTCTGCATCTTCTCTTCATATAATCACATTTTTCTAACAACCTTAAATCAAAATAACTTTTCACTTTTCTCTGAGATGCTTCAGACCAGAACAAAAAAAAGTTAAATCTTGGACGCTGAATAGTGGCCCCATACGGAAAGATTGTTTTGCATGCACGGACTGGGAAGTCTTCAGAAAAGCTGCTGAACATGAGGGTGTGCTAGTTCTGGAGCAATACACATCCTCAGTTCTGGGGTACATTAGTAAATGTGATGATGTCACCACCATGAGATATGTTAAGAGTTACTCGACAGGAAGCCTTGGCTGAATGCAGAGGTTCACACCCTGCTAGAAGCCAGGAACACTGCCTTCAGGTCTGGAAACTCACAGGAGCTGAGAAGAACAAGGAAAGAGCTGGTTGCTGGTATTAAGAGGGCCAAGGCCACATATGCACAGAGGACAAGGGTCAATTCACCTCCCAAGACCCATGGAGCATGTGGAGGGGCATTAAGTATATAACAGATTATAAAGGCAGGAGTGAACAATGCCCCAAAGACCCATCACTGTCTGACGCCCTCAACAAGTTCAATGCATGCTTTGAAGACCTGAACAGACCACCCAGCCCCAGACTCACCTCACCACCGGATGAAGAGCTTCTCAGCGTGACCTCAGCCGAAATGAGGAGTATTTTCAGGAGGATTAATCCTCACAAAGCAACCAGCCCAGACAATATCCCCAGGAAGGTGCTGAAAGACTGTGCTGATAAGCTCTGCGAGGTGTTAGCCAACATCTTTAACACCTCACTTACCCTGGCAACAGTTTCCACCTGCCTGAAGACTGCCACCATCATCCCAGTCTCAAAGAGCTCTACAGTGACTGGTCTGAATGACTATCGGCCAGTGGCCCTCACCCCGAAAGTCGCTAAATGCTTTGAAAATCTGGTCATGACTCACATAAAAATAACCATCAATTGGATTTTTGATAACTGGTTCCTGCTTTTTTTGGATTCAGCTGGTGCTGGTTTTATCTACAATCAAGGAAGTCGTCAGCAGCAAATTTGGACCCGATCACGCTGCTTGCCTTTATGATGGCTTGGATCATGTCTGGAGTACCCAGACTCAAATGCTTTGGGCTGAATGGATCAGATCTTGGGGATTTTTACTCAGACACGTTTCCATCGGTGTTGGCCATGTTAATTTGGACATTTCGGAACCGAGTAGACCGACACAGACTTAAGGTTGATGTCATTAAGTTCTGCCTGTCCCCAAAACAACTGTGTGTTTATCAAAATTGTGGTCGCCTTGGTTGTCCTTGAAGGCCATCTTATCTAAAGTCGCCTGGAGAAAATGTGATCTGACGCTCACCACCCCCTCCCTGAGGAATTTCCAACTGATAACCAGATGAAACCCCGCTGAAAAAAACTTTGTGTCATCATTTCAGGACTCTGGATTCTTATAGACGTTATTCTTGGCCATTTCTCGACATCCCTTGAGAATGTTTATGGATCTCACCGGAGGACATTGACTGATTACAGTGACCTCGAGAGCATCTATAAGCGTTGTTGACCGCTCTCGTCTATTCCTTCTTCCTGCTCTGCTCTGTAGAATGTCTATGTAAATATGTGCTTGTTTGTACGAGGTGCTTTTTCAATATTAGGGGTTTTTCTCAGCCAAGAAAAAAGTCTGATAGGAGTTTTTTTCGCCTCCAACTCCTACATGTGTCTAGTTAACCACTTTTTTTTGTCTGTCCAAACAGGTCTCACTTGTAAATGAGTCTTCGAGGCTCAATGTGATTTATCTGTTTAAATAAAGGTTGAATGAATGATTAAATCCAGGCTGTCACATTGTAAAGTTTGCAGATGATACAGTGGTGGTTGGATGCATCACAAACAATGATGAGTCCAGCTACAGGCAGGAGGTGGAACACCTGGAGAGCTGGTGCAGGAAGAATAACCTTCACATCAATGTGAAGAAGATGAAGGAGATGTCTGTGGACTTCAGATGAAACAAACACCCCCCACCCCCCACCACCACCACCACCACCACCAACCCCCCAGGAGGATCTGCAGTGGAAGTGGTCTCCAGCTACAAGTACTTGGGTGTGCACCTGAATGACAACCTCATCTGGGGCAACACCACCAGCCTGATCAAGAAAGCTCATCAGAGACTCTACTTCCTCAGGCGGCTGAGACCAGCTGGTGGGAAACTCAGTCCTCGCCTCCTGCTCACACAGACTCATGTTCGTGCTGCTGTTCGGCATATTGTTTTTATGCTATTAGTGCTTAGTGTATATTTAGTTGATGTTTTTCTTAGTTCATATCTTAGATGTTATTACTGTTTTTCTTTTACATTTTATTGTGGGATGTAACTGGGACCGTGTGTACATAATTTCGTTCAACCACATGTGGTGTGTGTGATAAATAAATCTCTCTGACTCTGACTCCGACTCGCTGACTCTCTCTGATTTTTTGTCTAAGTTGCACAAAGAAACACCTTTCACTGCTCACTTAATTCTCACATATAGCATCAAATGTTTAAAATCAGATGCATGTGTGTAGTTTTGAGTTGTTCTTTTCTGACTGTGCAGAGAAAGAACTGGAGGTTTATCAGAGCATTGCAGACCTCACGGTGAAGGCCAAGGACCAGGCAGTTTTCAAGTGTGAAGTTTCAGATGAGAACGTGAGGGGAACCTGGTACAAGAGTGGTGTAGAAGTCAAGGCCGATGCCAGGATAAATATCTCACACATTGGCAGGTCAGGACACTAAACATCCAAAATGTTAGATCCTAAACTCATCATAAATCCTGAACTAAACTCGTGAATTCAAAGGATCCACAAGTTGACCATTGATGATGTAAAACCTGAGGATGAGGGAGACTACACTTTTGTGCCAGATGGTTACGCCTTCAACCTTTCTGCTAAGCTCAATTTCCTAGGTAATATTTTCTTTCTTTAAACTGTCAAACTATCAGTTGAGTCTGAATGTTGACCAATTTCTGCCTTTTTCTGGTTTCCTCAGAGGTGAAGATTGATTATGTGCCACGCCAAGGTACACCATCACAAACTTTTCCTATTGTAGAGAAACAAATGCAGGACTCAACCCTCTTCCTAACCATTGGAACTACTTTCTAAGATCCTCCAAAGATCCACCTGGACTGTATAAGTCGCACCGCTGAGTCAACCATCGTGGTGGTGGCTGGAAACAAACTACGTCTGGACGTTCCAATCACTGGAGATCCTGCTCCTACAGTGATCTGGACCAAAGAAGAAAAGGTAAAAACTAAAGTAAAACTTGATGTTATCAAGGGGATAGCCTGGTCATTTTTGAAGTGATGTTCTATCAAATAGTTGTCAATAGTTAATACCTTGTCAGCCATGACATCAATCATTAGTTATCCAAACTGGTGCTATATTATTATTGCGTTTAAGACTAACAACTCACAAAAACACCATATAGCCTTTTTTTCATAATACATAATGTAGAGTTCTTTCACACCACTCTTGTTTTATAAGCCTGATGAATGGACTCTTGTTTTCTACATATTAGCCTGTCCTACAATGGCTCGAGGGTGAGCAGTGACCCAAATCAGAATCAGAATCAGAATAAACTTTATTGGAATTGCACCGAGGTACAACACGAATATGTACGTACAGTCGTCCGAAAGATGGGCGGAGTGCACGAAGCTGCAACTACAGGAGAGCGCAGCCTTCTTATCCTTATCAGATAATAATCTTAGATAGGAAAAGGAGGAGAAACATGAGGGTAGATAGTGGTATTACAAAAAAAGATCTTTCACATCTTGTCTATCAGGACACGATTTGAGACATCAAAAAACTACCAGCAAGCACAATTAAAACAAGATTGCATTTGACATCGAGGTGTTGAGATTTGTCCATGAGCATTTTTTCAGATCAGCCACAGTTTCTGAAGATGTTGTTCTAGCCAGCAGTTCTGATAAGCTTGCGCGTGATGAAGCTTTTGTCCTTGGGTACTCATGTCCCAGGAGAAATTTGA